ATTGAAGAAATTGAAAAGAGTAAGAGCTTTTCTTATTAAGTTGAATTTAGTGAAGTATCATTTGATGCTAATATAATGTCTACTGATTATTATTTTACTGTTTTACAGTTGCAGAAAGTACTCAAGGTTGCTCTCAATCTTTATGTGCCATCTAGAATTGGTGAGCTCTTAACTTTAAAAAAAATGTATAAGTATACATTAATAATATAATGTCTACTGATTATGACTTTATTTGCTTGTTCATTAATATCTGTGAGCATATTAACTCAAGATTCTACTTTTCTATTTTCTGCCAGGGGAAGTGGTGAGCAATGTATTTATAAACCATTGCAGCTTATTTTTATAAAGATTAGAAAAGATTATAAACCATTGCAATGTATTAGAAAAGATTCTACTTTTCTATTTTCATATTTTTGCATCCAGTTCGACAGCTCCCTTATCTGGAAGAGGTGAACTTCCCTTTGCAGCTTCTGAAGCAGCCTGCTGAACTTGGTCAGATGAAGCATCATCTTCAGAAGGCTTGGCATCAGGTCCTGCAGACGCCATATTAGCTGCTGCAGTCTGCAGATGCTTATGTACACTCAGTTTTTTTGTATGAGGAGATTAGATGCATCATTTGTAGGCTAAGGAGTGGATGATGGTGCATGACTATGAGTGTTTATGCTATTTAAACAATAACTTTTGTCTTTTGTTATTCTGAAAAATTGTTTATGTATGGTGCATGAAAACTTGTTTTTGTGTAATGGGATTATGAGAACTTGTGTTGAAATTCATTATGAAGTATCTCATTCGGTATGGTACGGTAATACCGAAAATTTCGGTATACCGATTTTTCGGTATGGTAAGGTATGTGCCTTTTGTCAAACCGATATTTCGGTATACCGAAACACGGTATACCGAAGGTCCCGGTTCGGTATCGGTATAAAAATTAGCCATACCGGATTTTCGGTACGGTATACGGTATTGGGTGAAATTTTCGGTATACCATACCGAACCAGCCCTAAGCCGGACAAAGCCTACTTTTTATATGGTATCTAGAGCCAGCCTCATACGAGCATCATTTTTTTCCTAATGACCATTACCGCCACCACCCCGGTGATCCAACTCACCGCCAACACCAATTTACCAATCAAACTCACATCCTTAAATTTTCCTGTCTGGAAATGCCAAGTTCACGCCGCTTTTGCCTTCCTCGGGCTTGAAGGCTATGTTGATGGCACTATTCGTGCTCCTGATCAATTTTTCGACGATGCTAAATCTCAAGTATACCCCTGATATACCATTTGGTTGAAACCATTGTGAAGAAAGAACTGTTTTAGCTAGTTTTCATACTAGTATAATTTTATCTTTATTTTATTATTAAAATATATTTGAATTTTAATTTTTTCATTATTTGATAATATCAGTAAAACAGGCAATTCGACCAATTTGAAGTATAATGTAAAAAGTAGAGGTAACAACAAAAATTATTATAACTAATACAATAACTATAAGTAGTACGGAGTAGTAGTATTTATATGAAGTAATTAGAATAGTAAAACGATTACTTGAGTTTTTTTCTTAAATATTACTCGAAAAAATTTATGGCAAAAATGTAATCGACTATAATTACTATGAGCATATCATCATGACATCATGGTCACTATAATGTAAACTTAATCATCATCATGTTCACTAAAGTAATTATTATAGTCATTAAAGTATAAATATATTATTTCTATTTATACTTCTATTTTAGTTAGCATTATTTCTAAATAATAGTATGAAACAAATTTAGGATATTTCTATGGGTTAACTGTTAAAATAAGACTAAAAATTGGTCACTTTGCACAAATAAGACAAAAAAGTAAACTATGTTTTGATAGGACTAATTATATGTGTGTTGAAAAATATACCCTTGTTGCTATTGAAATGTTTTAATTTATAATAAAATATTAAATAATATTAGATATTCATAAAAATTATAAAAAATTTATAAAAAAAATTAAATAATACTATTGTCATAACTAATTTAAAAAAAATTAAAAAGTAAAAAAAAATCATCATCATCATTACCCCAGTGCCGCAAAGGTTCCCACCTACGGTGGGGTGAGGGGGGTCTGATGTACGTAATCTTACCTCTGTACGTACTAATTTTTTTTTAACAAAAAAAGGAAAAAAAATCAATGCCGCCTCTACCGCCCTAGCACCACCACCTCCAGTCACCAGGGGAAAAATGCCACATCCATTACGAATATCATATTTATGGCATGTTTAATGAAAAGTTTGGCATTCTCAAAAAGTAATATGCCATTTTTTGGCATTTTCAAGAAAAAATGGCAGTTTTTAGAAAAAATGGCTTTTTTACACCGGTCGAGGGTGGTGGTGCAAGAAGGCAGTACAGGCGGTGGGAAAGGCATCCATATTTTTATTATGGAGATTTACTATTTTTTGTTAATTTTTTAAAAATTCAAAAAAACTAAAGAAATTAATTTTTTTAAAAAAACTAAAAAACGCTACAAAAAAATCATCTCTGCCTCTGCTGCCCCAACACCACCATCTCCGGTCAAAAGGGAAAAAAATTGCACATGCATTAGGAATGCCATATTTATGGCAGATTCAATGAAAATTTTGACATTCTCAAAGAGTAATATGCCATTTTTTTGGCGTTTTCAGAAAAAAAAATGACATTTTTTACACCGGTCGGAGGTGGTGGTGCAGAGAGGCAAGACGGTGGGAAAGGCATCCATTTTTTTAATTTGTTTTATGGAGTTTTACTATTTTTTATTAATTTTTAATTTTTTTATTGTTTTTTTGTAACTACTTTATTATTATTTGTTTTAATTTTTTTCGAATTTATTATGAATTAAACATTTAATTATGACTTTTGACTACCTTTTACTCATTTATAGGCGGGGTAAGAATGAATTGAAAAAATATGTATGTTTCCAATGGACATAACAAATCCTATTTTTGGATTTTGACACAGTTTTACTTCTATTTGGGGGTAATTTCCCTATTCCTATTTGTTTCTTTCGTAATGTTACAAAATTGTAGAGGGGTCTTCCTTTTTAAGTTTATTTTTTGTTATATTTTAGGATTTTTAGCCACAAAAGGCTAGTTTCTTCCATTAGGCCTTTTTGTATTGGCTGTCGATCGTTCTTTATTTCTAGCCCAAACCCTTAATTTGTCCAATATGTTAATAAATTCCCATTTATTTCCTTACTCATCGACCCAATTTAACTCATCAAATTTATCATTTAAACAGAAAAAATTATGTATCATAATTTCAAAATAACATTCAAATGTCTTTTACTCGGTGGTTATTACTTGGATAAGTACAATTAGCAGGTATCACGTATAATATTTCTGCTTAACATTATAATATACTTATAATGTATGAAGTGTGAACATTTGTGCACTTTATGGTTGGTTGAATGGTTCAATACAAAAAAAATACGGGATTGAAACAGATTTGACACGAATTTATTGATGATTTCGTGTCAAATTGTTTTTGGCACAGATTTAACATATCCCCGCTAAATTTTAGAAATCTCCTCAAAAAATCAATGTCAATCACATGTTTTTTTGTAGTGGTTGCTTTTAGCGTAAATAATGATGAAGTGGAGTAAGAATAAGTAGAGCAAGAATAATTGGAAATTGTTCAAATTTATAAGACTACAAAATAATCAATTTTTTTGTTTTCTCTAAATAGGAATGTATGTGTAGTTTTCGTTGAATGGAACTAATCATTCTATTTTTTTTACCCACAATCTAAGTTAATTAATTAATTAACCTAATGAATTGACCCATAGTCAATTCTTTAATTATATAGAACTAATCATTCTTTTTTTAATTTTTTACCCACACTTTAAGTTAAATAGTTAATTAATTAATTAACCTAGTGTATCGACCCCCTATCTAGCCCCCTTGCATACAAAAGGTCTATCTGTTGGTGACACCAGCTTGGCGGTGGAGGCAGTGGAGTACAGCGGTAGCGGCAGATGAGCGGTCAGAATCAGCGGCGGAAAAATCGAGTGGCCCTACGACAAGGCCGTCTAGAACAACTTTGAGGCCCCAGACAATAAAAAAATATTTAATTTTGAGAATTTATTACAATGCATTTTCCTTATTAATACTCTCTCCGTCCCACGATAAACTTCACAGTTGACTTACACATATTAAGGAAATAAACTTACCATGGGGTGAATTTTACTGTTTTGACACTGTTTCGACACTGTTTGACATTGTTTGGCATTGTTTTGCACTGTTTGACACTATTTTGATGTAGATTAACTTGCCATTTAAGGAAATGAGAATTTGTTTCTGTGACATCAAAAAAAGAAAAGTGAGAAGTTCATTGCGGGACGAAGAAAGTATAATACTATCCTTCATTCCTTAATTCTTGCAACAGTTTGACTTTCACGTTTGACAACAAAAAACTTTGACTGTAATTATATTTAATTATGTATTAGTAAACATTATAAAAATTTGATATTTTGGAAATTCACATTGACAATAATTTAATAACATTTTATACATAATAATTTGATTATGTATATTAGTAGAAAATCATGGTCAAAGTAAGCTCTGTGAATAGTGAAAAAATCACAATGTTGGAAGAATTAAAGAACGGAGGAAGTATACAGAGTACGTAACATGAAACAAATAGACGCCAAATGAACCTTTTTTTGATGCAAACATACATACCCATTCAGTTCCAATCTTACGATAAAAGGGATGAAAGGGATAAAAGGCAAGAGACACGCCTCTTCCAAAAAGGTGACCACAACACCATTATAAACAGACTTCAATGAGAATTGATCAATCCATCACAATAGGGGTTGTATCCTTAGAGAATCCAAAACATCATGACTTCATCATCTTCTACAATACCATCGACATTTGGTTTCTCCTCAATCGATTTGTATTTTAAATGCTTGATTCTTTGAATATTATCAAAGAAAGTGAGATTGATTTCTGATTAAAATGAATTTCTATCATGCAACACACATTCTCAATAGACAAAACATTATGCCACAATAATGGGTTTCTTACAAATGAGTACATATATGACACTCGAACTAGGACAAAAAAGTGACCAAGTCTTTCACAAAGTTTCAACTAGACTTCTAAGGAATTACATAGCAATCGATTAACTAGGACAGTGCGGAAAAGGTTCCAAGGATGTGAGAGTAAAAATGCCAGTCAGAGCTAGTTTCATCAATGGCTTTTTGCCCAAATGGGTGTCCCTTCACATATTCCCTCACGTCTTCATCAACGGCACCTGCTAACCCTTCTAGATAAACTCGAATATCACCGCCTCGACCTGAAAATATTAACCATTAATGGAATCCTAGATTTATTTTACACATTTTACGTCGGTTTGAAATTAAAGGTTTGTCCAACTAAGAGACGATACAGGAACGAACCTATAACGCGAGTTTGTAAATCCATGTACGTAAAAGAGACTCTACAACGTCGGTTTTGTTACATACCTGACGTGAATTGGGATGCAAATTACATAGTCCGTACTCGGTAATTAGTTAACTCACCTAATGATTTGTCATCCGGGATCGTGGATTTGTAGGTAGATGGAAAGATTGAAGTGTGAATCTACATCAAAGCAAGTCTAAAGATTGAGCACATAAATAAGGAGTACCTATATCATACTTCATATGCAATACGGTTTATTTGGTAATAATGTCATCATATGACATCGATCATAAAATGCGACAAATAACATGCCATTTGTATCAAACTTTAATTCATTTTAATGGACTTTCCTCGGGAAAATGTAGGCTGATTATGAAATGATATAGATTCTGTTAGATCGATCTTTTTAAAAAGAGTTAGAAAAACCTACTAGAAGTAACAATTTTTTTAAAAGGATATATGTAGATCGATATACTTTAGAGAATATTACCCAAAATTGGATTAAAACAGTTTCAAAATTCCAAAATAGGGCTCCCATGTTTTTATTCCAAAAATAGGCCTGATAACTGCCATATTTTGGCAGTACCAGATTTCAAACATGTCAGTATTTTCTAAACTTGACAGTAATTACTCCTATTTTGAGAATAAAAAACATGACAATCTCATTTTAAAATTTTCAAACTCTTTTAGTTCTTATTTCAGAAACTTTCCCTATACTTTAATAGGGATGAACCAAATAAAATTATTTGACATGGAAAAGATATATATATATATATATATATGCACTTACGGGATTAAGCAAGGCCTTGTATGGGGAATCATCCCATAACAATGTGTTTGACTCATTGTAGTATCCCTTTGGCCAAGGCTGATATGGAAATCCTGTGTCCCATACTTTGCATAACTCCTTAAAAACTATGGGTTTATATTTATCCTCCAAAGTCTTAAATTTGGTCCGGGTACAATATGACATATCCTGCATGCAAATTTAATTTCCAGCTACGCAAAATAAGACCATGCAAATTAAACACCATGCATGCTTACGTGGGAATGTAAAATAGAAAGGTCTTTTAATTTAGAGCTAAGCTTACCCAACAAAATACCAATTTATCCTTCAATTCTCCAAACATGTTGTCAACTATTGGATCAAGATTCTTCTTCCTGCACATAATAATCACTTGAGTCTAATTAATTTAAGCAATGCATTTCCAAATGCATGTTTCTTTTTGTCTTAAACTATGAGATATAATTAGGTACGGTGGAAATTATATGGCATTAAAGATCTATGTCCAAACTGCATATTCTCACTTTCATTATTTAAATGTCCCAAAATAAACTTTTCGTTTGTACATTGAAGCATACAAAGTAACTATTCAATAATGAATATCGAATTATACTATTATTTACTTTTACTTGATTTGATATAAGTTAGGTGTGTTATTATTGAAAAATAAACTCCCCGCTGTAATTAATGGTATTAAAACGTGTGTTAGTGAGGAGTTGTTTCTAGGATAAAAAGGCACAAAATACGAGTAAGACTTGAAAAAAATTCTAAAATAAGAATAAGTATGTTTTTGTCTCAAAATAGGACTTGTTTGCTTCTATTTAAAGAATAGACAATAAAAGATTTCTATTTGAATTTGGGAGTATATGCTTACTTGATTCTAGAGGACCAGATAGCGACATCAAATCTCTCGAAACAAAAGTGCAAAAAGTCATCACAATAGGGCCTCTTTGTAACTGCAAATTTAAAGCATTGAACTTGATTAAAATGTCAAATATTTTTTTTGTCTACATTTAGTAGCTGGTCTCTTATCATATTTGTTCAATATTAAATGTCAATTATTGAGAATAAATAATTGGAGTGTCACAGTAACCGTGAAACGAAGTTAGTTGACATTGAACTTTCAAATGTAAATAAATATGAGTCGTTTTTTACGGTAAAAGTAAATAAAAATTCGAAATTTAAGGTAATTCGTAAGTTAATTTGTCTTGCCTGAATAGCTGACGCGTCCGGCTGCGGGTACGCGGTCAACAGCCGCCAGAAGACCGTTGACGTCGAGTATCAGTAGTTTCTTCCGGGAAGAAATGTCCACTGGATCATAAATAGTAGGGATTGGGCTCTTTCCAATTCCGCCAGAAGATCGTTGACGACAATTTCCTCCGTCATCCAGTGGCAGTTCATCGGAAATTTTGGTTCTCCCCTGCACCCCGTCGTCGCCGCCCAGTACCCGGAGTTTCTTTCGGGAAGAAGTTTCCCCGGAAGTATCATTACTATCATACACTGAAGTACCAGTAACACGGAATGGGCGCTTATCGATCAAATCTTGATTCACCGGAGGGTCCATCCCGGTGACGGAATATATAAGATCCTCGTCGCTTCTGATAAGTTCTAACATCTTGCCTGCCTAGAGACGCAAAGATTAAATAGAAATTACAGCGAGAGAATGTAAAATGTGGACGGCCGGACGACATTAATTAACTGTTTTTGGGGAGGTGGAATGGGCGGGGCGCGGGGATCGGTGTGGAGTTTGTGGGGGTTTGCACGGCGGGTGGAGCAAGACATTTTCTGAAGGACGCGATTTCTGAGGAAAAAGTTACGGCGGAATCTAGGAATACGTCCGGCTACGGCGGTTGATTTTTGCGGGTGAAGGCGGGATATTATTAAGAATACATTTCCAAATAGTTGGGATGTCAAAAAAAATCGGCACGCGTTGACCCGCCCTGGCTCGAGACATTTGGGACTGGTCTGGCTCACCCCGTCTTGCAAATGGGGCGGGTCTGTCCTGTCCTGCCTATATAATGTTTCGAGTCCGGGTATTAGTATTGACTCGTGCCACCCTGCTCTGTCCTGACTCGCTCAATATATAAGTATATACATATTTTTTCTTAAATTATACTATAAATATGCTTCAACATACATATGTTTGTATACAATAAATCATAAACTCTTGGCGAAATTCATAAGAATAATCCTTACTTTTAGGGATTCTATAATAATAATCCCTACTGAGAGTGTCTATAAAAATAATCCGAACTAGCAATAGTGTCCACAAGAATAAATTGGGGTGAATTCAAATTAATGTCCGTTTAATACTATCAACCCCTACTTTCACTTTTCTCTTCATCGTTCTTCTTATCGAAGTGAATTAAAACTAAAACCCATTTAATCTTAATGTCATTTCCGCCATATGTGGTTCTTTCTAGAACAGAAGATAGAAGTGTTACCAAAAAAGAAGAGAGATAAAGGGGAAAGTAGAGGTAAGATTTGGGAGAATTAAATGGAAAATAATTTTTTTAATTTACCTCAATTTATTCTTGTGGACATTAATGCTAGTTCGGATTATTTTTATGAATACTCTCAGTAGGGATTATTATTGTAGAATCCCTAAAAGTAGAGATTATTTTTAGTGAATTTCACCTAAATTCTTTGATCTTATCATATATCAATAGAGAAAAAGGGTCAAATAAGGCATTCTAATATTATGAAATAGTCACATAAGACCATGTACTCAATAAAGTGTCATATAAGTACCTCAATATATATTAGATTGAGATGAACGACGAATATCAATGTTTTCTTTATACTTAAATAGATTGAGATGAACGACGGATAGCATTTGAATACATATATTCAAGTATTAATATAATTAAATAGATTAACTGTTCAAATCTAAGTGATTTTTCCTTAACTTTTGAAATTTCTAGCGTATCGTGAATTTGATTTAATATATTAATTTTTAATAATTATTTAAAGATAAACTTTATGTAGATTCAATTGGTAACAGTTTCTCACAAATGAAAATACACACTAGCCAATTAGGTTACGGCGGAGCAGGGCGGACCCACCCCGCATGGGGCGGGTCATCGGTCTACAAGTTTGGACCTATGCAGGTCACGGGGTGGGGCGGACCCACCCCGTCAATTCACGGGGCGGGTCTGGGTCTTGCAGTACCCGCCCCGCCCCGACCCATTGTCTTGCCTACCAAATACACATGACACAAATGTTTATGGAGATATAGAAAAACTTTAATATAGTAATGGTCCTAAATCCCCCTCTATCCATCCAAAATCAAAGTCCATCGCCCCCCTCACGTCATGATGAGACATAGAATAGTTCACCCTAAAAAGAACGAGACTAAATCACTGAAACTGTGAGAGTACAAAGCCTATTAGCGGTTGAATCAACATGATTGGCACCGAACAGTAATCTGACAACTTAAACATACCAAACCACCAATCTACCCCCATTACTAGAAGAACAAAATAGAAATAGTAAAAAGGTCTAGATTGAAAATAAAAAAATAAAAAAAGTAAAAAAGTCTTCCAAACCCTAGTCGCATAGTTCCTCCATGACGGCGGTTCAGAAGAGGGACGTGATTTTCAGCACTTCATCTTCTTCCTTCACGACTTTGATCTACCCGTGAGTCGCCTTCATTTCTTGGCCAAAATACTGCACGAATACAACCAGTTCGAAAGCAAGAAGCCTCCACATCCCTATCCTCCAAATAGCTAGCCTCCTCATCACGTTCATCCACAACAATCTTCCATGTCTTCGCTCCTCAATGGTCTCCATCTTCCCCGTCCAACGTTGATCAAGCAAGATGGCTCCCTTGCGCAGACGAAGCAGGCCACCAACGAAGCAGAAAATAAACTCAACAAGGAATCAAACTGCCACTACGAAGCAGCCCACCAACGAAACAGAAAAATCAACGCAACAAGCAGCACCAAACGCAAGGTCTCGCACAAACCAAGTTGAAGCCTTGCCTGCCGACTGCCACCAAACGCAAGCTGGCAAAAAAAAAAAATCGCACTTCACCGGAAGAGATGCTAGTCGTCGATCGCCCAAACTAACCCTAGATTAGGCTAGGTCCTCCGCGTTTTTTTTATAATTTAGTCCATAATTGTCCTAAATACGATTAAAATTTGTTTAAAAATCACAAATAGGATTAAAGCCCTAAATCATATACAAATAGGATTAAACATTAATTATCTACCCTAAATATCCCTAAGGGTATTAATTCATAATGAAATGTTTTACTTCATAATAATATTGTAAAAAACTATAAAAATTTAATAAAATATTTATAAAATAACAATTTCAAATTTTTTATTTCATTTTTTAGTACAAACCAATAAAAAATAAAAAAATGGATGTCTTTCCCACCGCCTCCCCGCACCACCACCTCGATCGGTAAAAAATGTCATTTTTTATTAAAAATCCATTTTTTTAGAAAATGACAAGAAAATGACACTATTACTCATGATAATGCCAAAATTTTCATTGAAACTACCATAAATATGATGTTACTATTGCAAGTTGGCATTTTTCTCAGGTGATTGGAGCTGGTGGTGCCGGTGGTGGCAGAGGAGACGGTGTATTTTATTTTTTACGTTTTTTATTTTTGTTTTTAATTTTTTAATTTAAAAAAAAAACAATTCAAAAAACATTTCATTTTATAAATATATTTTTTAATTTTTATTATTTTTTTAAAATTTTATTATTTTTTATGATTTTATTATGCATTAAAACATTTCAAAAGACACAAGAGTATATTTGTCCAAACACACATAATTAGTGATTGTTTTCTTTCTTTTAGTCGTAGTTACATAATTATCTCAAACTTTAATTTCCAAATATGACTATAACTTTAGTACAATTCATGTTCTAAATGACTATAACTTTAAAACTTTCTAAAGATGACTAGTTTTCCAATTCTACTCATGTTTTGTTTTAGTACAATTCAGATTTCTTTAATAATTAAAACATAAAAGCAATAATATTAATATATTTATAATATAAATATAAAAAACAAAACATACAAAAATATATGCTTAATAAAATTCAAAAAAACGATTAATTATAGAAAAAAAATTATAAAATAACAAAAAAAACTTTAAAATCAAAATAAAAAATGAAAAAACATAAAAAAAATGCAGACTTCTTTTGCTGCCTCAACAACCTCTCAGCACCACCACCTCCGACTATCGGAATAAAATGCTAACATGTGTCCGAAATGCCATCTTAATGACATTTTTTTTATAAAATTTTGAAATTTTCAAAGAGTAAAAACGACTTTTTCATGACATTTTAAAAAAAAGTTACAGTTTTTACATAAAATGGTACTTTTTCGCCGATTGGAGGTGACATTGTTGAGCGGTGGCCGAGGCTTTAGGAAAACAATTGTTACTATAATTTTTTCTCAAACAAAACTATAATGCATTTCAGAGTGACAAGTCACTGATAGATGATGAGTCACTTAGAACTAGTCATTAAATATGTCACTTTTCCTTGAACTACATATTTTTGTCCACATTTTTCGGACAAAAATATAATTTGTCACTATGTACGAGGAAATTAATATTACTGACAATGAGCGAAAAAGTACCATTTTATGTCACCAGGGCCGGCCCATGGCATGTTAGCCCAGTGCAACTGCACAGGGCCCGGTTTTTTGAAGGGCCCAAAAAAATTAGTATTAGGCTTAACCCTTTAGCCCAGCCCATTAGCCTTTAGCCAAAAACATCCCCGTTAACTCCCAACTCCCAGTCGACATTCATCCCCGATTCCTGGCTCCGCAATCCGCACACCGCAGTGCCGCACACCGCCACAAGGCCCACAACCAGCGCGGCAGCGCCTACGCCCAGCAGCTCCGCGACTCCGCACACCGCACAGGCGCACAATGCCACACCTCCGCTGCTCCGCGCCTCCGCAGTCCAGCCATCCAGCCACCAGACACCAGTCCACTGTCCACCACGACCTGCCGCCTACCGGCCGCCTCCCTCAGTCCCTCACCGGCGACCGCCTGTCCGCCTCACGCTCCCGCCTCCCTGACCGGTCAGTCAATTGAGTTTCATTTTTTTTCATTTAGTTGCTAATTGTTGTGAATTTTTGAATTATTGAATTGATGAATTGTTTGTTGAATTTTTGAATTATTGAATTGATGAATTGTTTGTTAAATTCTTGTGAATATTTGAATTATTGAATTGATGAATAATGAATTGATTGTTGAATTTTTGAATTATTGAATTGATAATTGTTGAATTGTGGTTATTTGTTGATTTTTTTCAGTTGAAGTAAACCATTATTGGAATTAATAATAGCTGTATAAATCTATTTAGCAATTAAAATTTAAGAAAGTGGTATAAATATATTATTAGGTAACTTGAGGTCGTTAAATTTTAGTTATACAATTTGCTTGTATTTTAAGACAATTTGCTTGTGTTGCAACTTGAAAAAAGGCCCAAATTTTATTGTTGCAAAGAGCCTTCATTTTCTCGGGACCTGTAATACTTGAGATTTAATTTAAATGGATTAATAGTATTACTCATACGAACAAAGTGCATCTCCTTTTAAGGGAGCTCATTCGCCAAGAACTCCAAAGTTAAGCGTGCTTGCACGGGAGTAGTCTTGGGATGGGTGACCCCTTGAGAAGTTTCTCAGGGCGTGCACGAGTGAGGACAAAGTGCGCAGAAAAGGCTAGTGGCGGTTTGTGAGGACAGTACTAGAGGTCTAGAGTAACTACCTCGGGGCCTACGGGACCGGGGTGTTACAAATGGTATCAGAGCAACCCTGCGACAGTGTGCTGATCCGTAGGATATCGGGCGGGCACTTAGCAGGGGAAAAGATTCTGGAATATGATTGAGTTTGTTTTATGGGCGCAACGAGGACGTTGCGTTCCTAAGTGGGGTGATTGTAATATTTGAGATTTAATTTAAATGGATTAATAGTACTACTCACACGAACAATGTGCATCTCCTTTTAAGGGAGCTCATTCGCCAAGAACTCCAAAGTTAAGCGTGCTTGCACGGGAGTAGTCTTGGGATGGGTGTCCCTCTGGGAAGTTTCTCAGTGCACGCACGAGTGAGGACAAAGTGCACGGAAAAGGCTAGTGGTGGTTTGTGAGGACAGTACTAGAGGTCTAGAGTAACTAACTCGGGGCCTACGGGACCGGGG